TGGAATTGAGGGAGTCAAGAAGGACAAAAGGTATAGCATAATTTTCAAATTGGGATCTGTAAAAAATCTCCTAGGCAACTTCCACTCACTAAAGCAAATATTTTAAAGCATCAAAATTGGGCCAAGAAATACATGAAAATCAACTTTTCTAAAGTAATTTTCACAGATGAATCTCATTTGATGAACATGATGGATGGGCTAAAGGATAGATTTTATCCAATTCAGATGCGCCTGTGCCTAAAAGAAGGCAATGAGGAGGCAGTAACATTATGATATGGGCTGTAATGGTTTACCAAACCATTATTGGATTATTCAATGCCTATGAAGGAGCTAAAATGAACAGTGATAACTATTGGGATTTTATGAACAAGACGTTTTTTGCATGGTGCAAGTCCCAGTCTCGTATTTTGAAAATGAACTGTGAGTTTATACATGACAGTGCTCCTTCTCATGTGTCTAAGCTTACCCATGAAATCTTTGAGCATAAAACATTTACAGAAGAGAAGATAATGGAATGGCCACCATCAAGTTCTGATCTAAATCTGATCAAAAATCTATGGTCAGTTGCGAAGATGAAATTATATGAAGGTGGCAAATAATGTAGACTAAAAGGAAGTAATTAAAACAACCATGTCAGAAATTAAACCTACTGAACTAAAAAAGTTAACAAAATCAATGGATTACTGGCTGTTATTGAGAAGAAGAGTCACTATATTAAAATGTAAAAGATTCAAACACTTATGTGTTTGTTATTTGTTCTATTATAGGTGATGATCAATTTTTGATGATTTTATTACCATTTTATCAAAGTAAAATGTGATTATTTGGTTTTGCCTAATAACTTCAGATGGCAGTTTTTTTGAATACATCAAATAACTTCAATAAAACATATTGATAACTTTAAATTTTAACTCAGTCTTTGTTTTGACATCTAAATTGATTGTTTAAGATTTGACAATTTTTTTCAAACCAAATTTGAATTATTGAAGTTTATATGATTTGCTTAATAAATTTTCACTGGGTGTAAATGCAAACATATCAATATTAATCGATTCTCAGCTTCCCAACCCAACACTTTCATACTTACTCCCCCTAATATGGAATGAATGCAAGCATATTTAAATCGTCTGCTTCCTCTTCTCTTCATAATGTTGCTTCCTTTTATTTTCCCACCATTTTTTTGTGTTCATAACCTTCTACCTCATTTCACAAATTATACTATTTTACTCTATCATCATTTTCTTTACACCACTGAAAGACTAGTTAAATTTATGGCTAATACAATTGGAACTCACCCAAATATAGTTATTCAAGAATTCTTTAAAAAATATTTTTCAGGTGTTTGAGGTGGGAGCAGTATTTGAAGAATCATTTCTGCAAATTCCATACCTTTTTTTTCTTTGTTTTTCTTTTTATATTTTTGAATATTTATTATAAGTATTTTCATTTACATTAAATTTTGCTTGTTTTTTATAATATATTTAGCAGTTTCTTTTACTAGAACCAACATTGCTTTGTAAAACAAAATGATAAAAAAAAACACATATATCTTTTAAAAATACACCCGAATCAACTATGCTTACCTGTTTTCTTTGTTATTTTCATTCCTATTTGTTTTTATTTTTTTATTTAAAGCCACTCCTCTTTTCAATGTAATATCCTCCATTTTTAATATACATCTGTTTTTTGGCACATTTCATTTTCAGAAATAAAATTTAGATTTTTCTCATTTTTTTTCTTTTCTTGAAATCAATATTCTTGTAACATTTCTTAACTGTAGGTGATAATTGTCATAATTTGTAAAGAGGAAAAAGTAAAATCAAAAGCTGCAAAAATAAGAGTAAAACTCAGGGTACACACTTCATTATCCATGTTTGCTGATGCAGGGAGACTTGCAATACCAGCAGCCATCTTGGTTTTGCCAATGCATTACATATTTGCAGCCATTTTTAATTTTGCTCCCTTTTCTATAGAGTACCATATTTTCATTTCAGTTAATGTCTTCCCAGGCGTAGCATTATAGGCAGATGAGAATATATTTGTTTGCATTCATTAATAGCTCTATTGAAATTTTTCATTTATTTGCATCAATTTGTGTTTGTAAGAAATTTTGTGGCTAAACACATAAGTGAATCGCTACTTGACTAAATGGGATCTCAGCTTTATTTTCACCATCAAATCAGTTCTTAAGCCAAAATACCTAAAAAACAGGAAAAACATATAAAAATTTATGTTTTAATGTTTGGAACTGATAACAGATATTTGTTGTGGGCTTAAATGGAAGTAGTTTATTTTATTACAATCTCATTATTTCCATAAATAATCTTTTTTTACTGTACACACACACACACACACACACACACACACACATATATATATATATATATATATATATATATATATATATATATTATATTCTGTTTGGCAACTAGTAAATTGGCTGGAGAAAAAGTGTTTTGTATTAAATATATATATATATATATATATATATAATCCGATAGGACAATACGAATAAAGACATAAATTTTCCTTTTGGCTTTATTCATTCATATATATATATATATATATATATATATATATATATATTAAATGATTCTTTCTAAATAAATATATATGTATAATATATATATATATCTATCTATCTATATATATGAAGAAATATAGTCTTAAGATGTGCTATATTTATGGGATAAAGTGCTCAATATCAGAGATAGAGCATGTATAAATATAAAAGTGAACATAGAAGTCAACACTTAGAGGTGACAGTCTGTTTCATGCTAGATGCAATCCTCAGGCTACCTGATATATTGGATTACTTATATATATATATATATATATATATATATATATATATATATATAAAATAATGCAGTACAAAATTGCATATTATTATATAAAATATATACATATATTTTTTTATAATTTCATCCCAAGCAAGACAACAAACCTACTAAAATTCAGATGGTTATTGACTGAGTTTAAAAGGATGTAAGAAAAAGAAAAAACTTCATTAATGAGTGAGAATAATAAACAAACAAAAATCAAAAAGAGAAAAGATAATGATTGATAATTGCATTTAAATTCTTGTAGTTCAAATTTGGCTGGAAAGCAAGTTACTGGTAAATGATTCTACAGGTAAGAAGTATGAGAAAAGAAACAGCATAGAGCTTATGGTCAGAATTAGCCATTTCAAATTTAAAATGATGAGACCTAGCTGCCAATCTAGTACTACACTTAAATTCATAGAGTCTAAGTACCATAGAGGAAAGTTCATCTGAACAATTACTATGAAAGTATTTTTGTATAGAAAAGGCACATTACAGCAGTGGGAAAATTACTGAAGCCACTATGCCAGCTCTGAACCAATGACATTAAAGATTCTTCTTTGGATTTTATCAAAGGTCTCTAAATATATAGAAGGAACACATGAAATATTTTGGTGTGTAGATATCTATAAAAGTGTTGCTATCAAAGTTATGCCTCCTATTGTATTATGTTGGTCCATGACATCAGCAGTTTATGGTATAGTTGTATTGGTTAATCTTTCCAGACAATAACCATGTTTTTTTTACCTCCTGAAAGAGTGACAAGTCTGTCAAGATGGTACCTAAAATGAAGTCAACCACTATCTTGCCTATGATATAAGATTTAGGTGTTTCGTTGATTTCCTATATGCTGAAAATTTGCAACCATTGATCATTAGCAGTTTTTTCAGTGACCAAAAAGTGAATGTAAGCACAGTTAGACAGTGAGTAATGTGTTTTAGCATTGATAAGCGACGTGTGTAAGATCAACCATGTTATGTTATGCAGATTCCAATTCAGCAATATCAAAAATACATATCAAATGATAATGACTGTGAATAATAAATTGGAAAGAATCCTTTATTTGTTCTGTCCTTCAAAATGACTTCTTCAGAATAAATAATGTTTTTATTAATAGGATCATTCATATATAAGGAGAGGAAAAGAAATGCAACAAATGTTAGTTGCAATTATACATCAAGAAAAAAGCTAAAAATGCAGGGATGTTTAAATTTCTTGTGTTAAGAAAGGGGATATGCTGTATGATTCTAGATATAAACTTACTATGGAGGACTCAGAAATTAGTGCCCTTTCTATACATTTTCACCTTAATAAATTAATTAAAATGACATTTTTAAGTCAAAATTATGACTTATAAATAATTCACTGAGTGTGTTGTTTTATAAAAGATCTATTTTTTTTTTTTCTGTTTATAAGGCACTATTCAACTTTGCTTGATTGCTGACTTAGTCCGTGGCAGAGACACACTAAAGCACATAAGCTCTAACAATGGTCTTTCATGACAAATGGGATGCAAGTACAAATCTTTCCAGAGAATGGATATTTTTCTTTAATAAGATTTCTCGGATATTTAGGCCAGAAAATAAAAAATAAATAAATATACTACTTAATAAATAAACAGAGCACCTACTCAAATATGTGTGTCCACGAAGAATAATGTTTAAGTAATAAAATCTGTTGGATTAATAGATAAAAAAAATCCATCACAGAAATTACAGTCAATATTGTAAATTCATGCTTCAGTTTCTAGGTAGTTATCATATTTTATATGAATTAAATTTCTTATTCTAACAAACATTATATTAAGTTCAGATAAATTCTTTTCATGTGTAGTCATGATTGAGTTGATAGGTAGTATTATGTGATTGGTTTTATTAAGATTATTTATATTGTTTAGTTTTCTACTTTTATAAACTTGATGAGCTTTCCTCTTTGCATTATATGTGAACTACTTAGGATAATGGAGGAGTTTAAAAGTATTTTTCTTCATCATATAAATACTGAAGGCTTCAAATTATAATTGGTCTCATGTAAAAACTGATAATTACTCTGGATTTGATTTTGTCTTCCTTCATTTCTCCCCTTTATATCTACTTTATATTCATATTTTTTCCATTTCTCTTTTCTGTCCTTTTCTTCTTTTCATTGTTTCTTTTTCAACCTCTTTGTTCGTAGTTTTTTCTTGCTTTTTCTTTTTCTTTTACTGTCTGTTCTTCTCACTATCTTTCCAACTCTTTTTTTCTCTTTCTGTCTCTGGTATACTCTTTACTATTTTCTTTCTATTCAGTTCTCTTTCTTTTATATGAACTACTTAGGATAATGGAAGAGTTTAAAAGTATTTTTCTTCATCATATAAATATTGAAGGCTTCAAATTATAATTGGTCTCACGTAAAAACTGATAATTACTCTGGATTTGATTTTGTTGTGGTGCAAATATGAGATTATTTTTGTTGGTTGATGATCACACACACACACACACACACACACACACATATATATATATATATATATATATAGTTAATGATATTATTTAGTAATCTGTATTGATAATTTCAAAGAGGATATAATCCAGAGAGCTCAATGTAAAAACAGAGCAAACATTAATTATTAAGAAAAAAGATAACTTTAAAGGTACATGATTATAATTTATTTCCTTAGGACCAAGAATTTGATCCTAATTCATCAGATCAACTATTTTCATACAAATAATATATATATATATATATATATATATATATATATATATATATATATATATATATATAGAGAGAGAGAGAGAGAGAGAGAGAGAGAAAGAGAATAGTATTTGGTAGTGTACAGCTTTTACAGTATTTTCTGTTAAAAATTTGTAACTTTTTGGCTTTTATTTCCAATTTCTTTAATTTTTGCATGATTGTTTTTCATACTGGCCAGGTGAAATGTTGTTTAATCTTGGTGATCAAGTGGAAATTAATGTTTCAGCAAACATAAAAGATTAGATTCCAGAGATTGGATAAGGTGACTGTTGTAGGTGTTGGGGGTAGCAGTCAGGGTGAAGTGGATTGGACCATTCTTGGAGTGGTGATGCATTAAGAATTATGAATGCTTCTGATGACATGCAACAGATTGCAAAGTTGGGTTTGAAGATTCTAAGCTGTCGGTAAGTGGGGCTGGTAGTGATTATATTACAAAGATAATTTGCAGCAGGAGTTTTTATTAGAGGAGGAGAATGGCAGGGGATGAATGTTTTAAATTATACACTTCGTTTACCTTCCCACCTCTTGCTTTTGATTGACACCAAATAGAAGCTGTTTAGTGTGTTATGTTTCAAACAAAAAAAGAAAGAAATAGATAAAATACTTCTAGGGCAAAGTGAGGTATAAAAATGTTGAGCTTGCACTGAATTAATACAGCTCATTGGAGTCAAATTAAAGAGAAAAGGGAAAAAAAAGCAATTTTTTTTCTATTTTTCTTTTTTCACTTTTACTTTCACTTTCCTCTACCATTTTACTTTCACTTTCGCTTTTCCCTACTAGTGATCAACAACACCCATGCGTCTCTATACCATATTTCCTCTAATTCTGACACTTTTATGTGAAGTGATGTTACTAAACCGTGCTCTCATCGCATTTTCTTCATCAATAATCAATCAATATGCACAGCTGATAGAACTCACTTGCCCACCCACCCTTTCTTTTTCTACCTTCCATTCTTCTCTCACACTTTTCCTTTCCCCCTCTCATTATATTACATTTTTCTCTCTTCTTCTCCTATATTAATTATTCTCTTTTTTCCTCCACATCTTACTCATTATATTACTTTTCTCTTCTTCTCTATCTCTCTCACTCTTTTCTTATATATTAATTTCACTTTTCCTCCCTTCCCTCTCTTTCTTATTATATTACTTTTTCTTTTCTTTCTTCACTTATCTCTCTTTTTCATTATATTACTTTTTCTTTTCTTTCTTCACTTATCTCTCTTTTTCATTATATTACTTTTCCTTTTCTTTCTTCACTTATCTCTCTTTCTCTTTATATTACATTTTCCTTTCCTTCTCTACTTATCTCTCTTTCTCATTATATTACTTTTTCTTTTCTTTCTCAATTTCCCTCTCTTTCTTCTATGTCATTCATTTTTCTTATTCTTCTACCATAGCAACTTATTTTCCTTCATTTTCACCCTTAATATCTACTTTATATTCATATTTCTTCCATTTCTCTTTTCTGTCCTTTTCTTCTTTTCATTGTTTCTTTTTCAACCTCTTTGTTCATAGTTTTTTCTTGCTTTTTCTTTTTCTCTTTCTGTCTGTTCTTCTCACTATCTTTCCAACTCTTTTTTTCTCTTTCTGTCTCTAGTATACTCTTTACTATTTTCTTTCTATTCAGTTCTCTTTCTTTCTTATCATTTCATGTTTTCACTTTCTACTTCTTCTCTGTCTTCTCAATGTTTTTATTTAATAATTATTCAGAATTTAGAAATAAGATAAACTACAACAGATAAAAATTAGGAAGAATATTTTTAACCAGAACCTCAGAAATATTTTTAAAGCATTGTTATAATGGGAAAAAAACATCTGCTATTGAACATCGGACATTGATACCACAATGAATAAAATACAGAGTGATTTCAAGAGGAAAGGAGAGGAAACAAGCCTGAAAATATTAACTTTTCGACCTGCAAGAGCCATGGAATCAGAATTTGGAACCACGTTTATGCTATTTGAAATGTAACAACTTTGACCCCATTATAAGACAATTGTTCTATTTAACCCTTTCTTGATTCAATTTCTTTCTAAATGTTACTAGTTTAACTCAAATTTAATTTGCTTTATGGACTACCTGCACAAGTTAACAAGTCATATAAATTTTGGTTTGATTATGCTCAGACTATATATTTCTATGCAAACAAAATACAGAAAGATTGTTGAACAATACAAAATATGTTTTAAGTATAACTGTAAATATACAGTTTTGTGTTAGATAATTTCTTTCATCAGAATCTATTTTAAACATTTATAAGACATTCATTGAATGTTTCTGACATGTCTGGTCTGGTTTATCTCCTATGCATTTAGAGAGTCATGACAGAATCAAAAGAAGAACATGCAATGTCATTAGTCCTGACCTGGCATCTCGGCTTCAGTCACTTTCCCACTGGAACTTTCTTCCAGCTTTTTGCTTTCCAGTCAGCTTTGATGTTCAAAAATTTAAATGCAATGTCAATCATTATCTTGTTTTCTTAATTTGTCTTCTTAATTATTGTTCTTGTTAATTAATAATGTCTTTCAATTTCTCATATTCTTTTACATTCAGTAACCTTTAAGTAAGGATTGTGTTTCTAGTTCCTTCTAAAGCCTTTTTCACTCTCTTTCACTCTTAGTAGCTCCTTGTGTCTAAGTGGCATTATTGCCTTGTTTGGGGTGAATTGATTAAAAAAATGTTATTCATAAATTATCTTGTAAGATTCTTGATGTTATAAATATTAAAAGCAATTCAAAATAGCAGCAAGACAAAATGGCAATAACCTTAAGAAAGATTTTATTCAACAAAAAAGCACATAATGTCACTCTTCCCAGAATACAGCACAATTTATACAAATGTATGTTCATTTACATCAGTCAGTTATGTGCCATGCATGATACACGCTTAGGCGGTCATGTGTCTCTCGATACATGACTGACGAGGCAGATTTTTTCCTGCAGTAGGTTGCTATTTCTTTCGGCACTAGACCAGTTGCCATCCAAGGCTATAGAACCAGGTCTGTCCTGCTATTTACCCATAGCTGGGGGGGGGGGAGAAGAAGAGGATTCATACCAATCTCAAAGAATTTAGCATATGTGAATGTAATGGATTTGACTAAAATCCGAGCTGATAGAATAGTTCATTTCAAAATACTTGACACAAAATGGTCCATGCAAGTGTTTATGTGCAAACTCTAATCAGTATGTTGGGAATGCTGACACAAGAGCAAGTCCTCTCCCCACACCCTACCAAATCACTTTGATCAAAAATCTATTCCCAATATCTTCTGTGCTTTATCCTTTTGCTCATTCAATACAAGATCAGAAACTGAAATGTTTTTATTACATCATATCAACAACTGCCATTTTCTTTTTAATCAGGTTCAATCATGAAAGAATTTTGGAGATTTCATTCATGAATGTAGTTGTTTCCTTAATTCAAATGAGTCTGAAAATGCTCTCTGATATCAAATATGCATTAAAACAAAGTCAATGATTGGAGTGTGGAAATGAGAGAAAAAGGGGAGGTAATTAATTTTCTCAATAAATAGGAAGCCAAAAAGAAGAAAAAAAACACAAAAAGAAAGGAAATGGTGTTAGTTATTCCATTCACTCTTATTTTATTAGGAATCATGGGAAAATGGGTTCCTATCTTTGATCTTTATTAATGAAAAAATGAATTAGAAAATTGATTCTTGCTTTTCTCTTTTTCCTGTCTTAACATGCAGGTCCCAGAAGCCAAAATGATTCATGGTTTTAGAGGCTTGTGTGACGATACATTCACATCTGGTGAATACCAACCATAGAATTTCAATTTATTCTTTGAAATGGAAAGTTAAATTTACAGTGAAGAGGTTGAATTGAAATTTAGTGAAGAGGTTGGAATTAATATTTAAATATGCCATATTTTCTGGCCTCTCTGAAGATGCAAGTTTCATAAAGGCTTTTTTGAGTCACTCAGAATGTAGTATTAATAAATGCTAAATAATTTGGTGTTTAATAAATACTAAATACTTTGGTGCATAGATAAATTATAACTGATTTAGAATAGTAAATTGAACATAGGATAGGTTGCATCTTCTTCTTTTGTTCCATGTCCCTTCAGGATATAGTCAATCATAGCACCCCATTTCCTACTGTCTTTTGTAGCTGTCAATAAGCTTTGACTTTTTGTTATTTCTCCTAGACTATGTTCTACCATCCACTTGCTTAAGACGGTTAAGTATGTCACACATTGCTTTTCCTTGTCCCTCTTTCTCTCTATCCACCCTGTGAGTACCAGATTTTCCAAGCCCTCCTTTCTCATTACGTGTCCCAGAAATTTCAGCTGCCTCTTCCTGATGTTAAGTATGAGTTTCCTTTTTGTTTGCATCCTCTCCAAAACCTCATCATTGCCCATATGTTCAGTCCATGGTATCCTCAGCATCGACACTTCTGCTGCATCCAGTCTCTTCTTCCTTTTTTGAGGAGACCATTCAACATTTACTGCCATAAGGGAGGACAGATATCATGTAGAAATTTCAAGTGGTTACAGAGTGTGGTGGAATTAGGAACAAAAATATTAGGAATGAGCAGAAAGAGAAAAGAGGAATCAGGAGGACTGCAGATAGCGATTGATGTTGTATTTAAATTTTTGCAGATTAAATTTGGCTGGAGAGCATGGAGCTGGGTGTTCCACAAGCAAGAAGTGCAAGAAAACAAAATGTTAGCATAGAACTTATGGCTACATCTAATAAACTCACTTCTAAATTGTCAAGATCTTGCCACTAGTCTAGTACTCTGCTTAAATTCATAAAGTCTAGATACCATAGCAAAGAGTTCATCTGAACAGTTATCATGAAAGTATTCATGAAAAAAGGCAACCTTATAGCAGTGGGCAAGTGATTTAAGCTGAGTTGCCAGATCAGGGCCAACATTATTGCTGATTCTTCTTTGGATCTTATCAAGAAGCTTCAGGTAAATAGCAGGGGCACTGAACCATACACTATTTACATTATTCAGACTATTGTACCCATCTTTGTTGCCATATTTATCACAACATTTCAGCCATTGTATGCTCTGGCCTTCTTCAGGTGGTTGGAATGTTGAACTGAACCCTTTATTTCACTCACTGGGGTAGACTGTTCTAGTTCCACATGCCATGTCTAATGGATGTCAGTTATCAGTTATCTCCTGTTAATTCCCCTCTCCAAGTTCTCCACTGCCTTAACCAGGTATTGAACTCACAAATCTTTGGGTCCTGTCACTGGATCTAACCAACACCTTTATCCACTGTGCCATGTGTCCTTAACAGCTGAAATGTTTTAATAAGTATGGCAACAAAGATGAGAATAATAGTTCAAATAATGTAAATAGTGTACCTCATCTCAGAAATATAGACAGATACTGCACTGAATCATATATGGCAGCAATATTCTAAGCAAGGATGTATGGTAGACTTATAGATATGCAAGCCTTTTCAAATTTGAACTCTCATGGATGTTATGCATAGTGTCCAACTCATTCAGAAATTTTTAAACTATCAACTATATACAACAGTTTTCTCGGGTCAATGATTAAAAATGGCTTCAAACAAATGAATCCTGTATATATAGATATATGGATAGAAGGGGAAGTTAAGAGTTGACTCTAGACTTGAACAGGCAAAGATTGTAGTGATCTTGGGCATCTGTTCCATAGGGCATTAGTTCACAGGAAGAAGCTGTTTAGAATGGAAATTACTTGTTGCCGATGGTTAACAGAGGTAATGTTGATGGTTTGCTACTATGGAAGTGGCATAGCAGATCCTAGCCATGAAGATCACACCTGGTGGAACCAGGTGATGCAGTTCATCTGAGCACTTTCCATGGTAATAGCAATAGAGCAGTGAGAGACATGCCACATTCCACCTGTGAGAGAGAGTGGAAAATAATTCTTCTCCAACAAGAAAGCATGGCATGTCCTTGATGTGAAGGTTTGAATGTATATATATATCAAGCACATAACATCATCTGCAATTACTCATGGTAGACAGCTTGTGAATTTTATGTAGTAAATCTATAAAAAATAAAATATTTTGCATTTTAGGCATAATAATCAGAATAACCTTCATAATTTTGTTGGATTAGGCGAATATTGTGCCACAGAAGGAAAATGATTTATTTTATTCAGGGTAGGCACTACATACCTTGCCTTGGTATGTTCCTGATATATATATATATATATATATATATATATATATATATATATATATATATATATATAGTGATTTTACAAGCATATTAGCTTAGATGTGGCACAAGGCCAAAAGTATGGGGTAACTGTTCCAGTGAGACAAGCTTGCTAACCATTACACTGCCACAAGGTGCCCAAAATATATATATATAGTGATTTTACAAGCATAGCTTAGATGTGGCACAAGGCCAAAAGTATGGGGTAACTGTTCCAGTGAGACAAGCTTGCTAACCATTACACTGCCACAAGGTGCCCAAAATATATATATATATAGTGATTTTACAAGCATAGCTTAGATGTGGCACAAGGCCAAAAGTATG